GTTATAGATATAATCTGGATTTACCCTGGAATTCTAAAGGTATAGATTCTGGAAGGGAGGTATCAGTAGCAAAGAATCGGGTTATAGCTTTATAAGAAACGTATACAAGATTACAGAAAACCTTATCCAAAGTTTACAAAGCCCAAAAACGATATTATGATAAGAAACATAGAGATATATCATATACTATAAATAACTAAGTCTTATTATCTACAAAGAATATCCGGATCAAATCAGAAAAACTAATGTCTAGAATAATAGACCCTTTTAAAATAATTAATATCAAGGATTAATTTGTATATAAATATGTATTATTCTCTTTATATATAAAACTATATAATATCTTTTATATATCACTCTTAGAAAAGTATTATAACAAACTCAATACTGATCCAGAAGATTATTCTACAAAAGAATATCCTTGTGACGGAACAGACGGCTCTCTTCCGCCCACTGGCTCATACTACATATGTAGTATGATATGACGGCTCTTTTGGACCTTCCTTTCACAGCTTAGAGCCCTAGCTCTATAGCTCTAGACCTAGGCATCTTACGCCTAGGACCCTTTCACCCTTTTGGGCCTAGCCCTTATGGCTCCCAATACCTGTATATATAGTCCTCCTTTTAGCATCCTACATAGCTCTTCACTTGTAGATTCTAAGTACACAATCGGAGTCCTGTTTATACCCTTTTGGTCACAATCCTGAACTAAAAAAAGATAACGAGTAAAAATAGAAAATAGAAAAGATTGTAAATCATTATACAAAGAAAAAAGGAATCGATTATCTAGTATGATAACAAAGATAGCCTGTTGATTATAATATATGGTTATTTATATACTCTAATCTAAATAAGGCCAAAAACAAGATCAAATTATATAATTAAAATTATCATATCTCTAAACCAAGCCTGGAAAAAACCAGAAAGAAACAAATATATCTAAAAAGCTTAAAGAGAGATTAATTACAAAAGAATATTTAACTTGAAATACTTTTTTCTTATAAATCCAAAATAGTTTTCTAAACCCAGGTTTTCTAAAGAAATAGGGTTGTATTGAAATTCAAATTAGTAACGAAAAAACCCAAAAACGAATCTGCTCTTAAAATATAACCAACCTGAGAATGCTTAGGTATAATAACTACGGAGCATTACTATCTCCAGGGACTCATTATCAATATCAATCCTATTCTATATTGAAATTAGTGAAATTCAACCGAGATTAAGCTAGGATCTCATCTGAAAACATAAAATAGTATTTTAATTGCAAAGTTCTTCAACCAAAGAATTCATTTGATGTAATATATCTTATTCAAAAAGTAATAAATTTGTCTCCTTCATTACTTAGAATAAATCTTTCAATTTCTTTAGAAACTCTTAAGAGATAAAATAGAGATTCTATTACTCAACCAGATTATTTCCAGATCAACACTATTCATTGTTTGTACAGCATTTCAACTTTCTAATAACTGAAATCCTAACCTTTCAGATACTATTCCTATAAACAATATTAGAGCTTATAATCAATACAAAGAAGTTGATTCAGTAATCTATATCTTCCCCAGGATCATTCTTTTGCTGGTTATCTTCCAATAATTCAAGATTAGCCTTCTCCCAATTTAAATACATATCGACATAAATGACAATCTGCCTTATCAAAGATAAGAAATTTATAAAGATCTATCTTAAAAGTTAAATAAAATCCAATCAGATTAGTTCCAGATTATTTACTTTCTCACACCAGCCCTTCTGAATATTGCAATATCTATAATTGAACAAATTCTTCTCCATTTCACACATATAACTAAAGTCCAGATAAAAGCGTTTGAGACACCGAAGATAATATGGACAAATAAAAAAGTCGTTTATAATAAAAGTACAAAGGTATACAGGAAGATTTGCTTATAATATAACTATATCGATAAAATTATGAAATAGAAGTCGAAAAGGAATGTATCAGGATTAAATACAGGAGATTTTGGTAAAACTATATTATTAAGGAAAGTTTATTAATGTTATTGTTTATTATTTCAAAAAAAAAAGTATAGTAATGTATTACTGCTATAGAAACTTTTCAGAGTAGTTATTTATATTTATTTTATTTATTTGTTTATAGACAATATAAGCCAAAACTATAAAAATATGATTATTGAGGGAGGTATCATATTATTGTGTAAAGACTAATCCTTTTCCAGGGATTAGCTAGAAAAGCGTGGATTTGAAAGGATACAGAGTATCCTTTTATATTCTTTGTTCTTTATTAATTAGTTTGTACTGAAATCTATAAAGAATTACCCTTATACCACCCTGGTAGTAGTATAAGTTCAGTTCTGTATAAACTATACCCCAACTGTAGTACTGATACTATCCGGCCTATTCCCTGCTTGTGATCCCTCACATTAATATATAAATTTGTAACCAGAATAGTATTATTTCTGTTTCTGAAACTAGATTAATATATTTATTTTGTAACCAGAATAACACAAAAGACTTAACCTGAAATAGTATATATCATACCTCGATTAACACTTAGACTATTTCGGGTATCAAAGTTCAAAATGATGCTATTCCAGGTATTTACCGTATAAATAAACCCAATAAAGTTCTTTGAAGTATATATATACATAGCGAGCGGTGTAGTGTATATCATTTCAATATAAATAGAGAGATAGGTTAACTCTTGCTCTAATACAAATATGAAATTAGATTTCGAATGACACTCGAGTAATTCATATTAGATATAAAGTCCAAAGTCCAAGTGTAATCACAATAAGCTTTTTCGTATGTACTTGTAAATTTTTAGATCAATCCTACTACCTATCTATCTAGGTAGTTCTTGTAAGATAATCAGATTCATTATGTTGAGGAGTTAGTGATGATTTCGATGATACTTAAATCAAAGTCTTCTGAACTACTCGTAAGAGGATTATAGTACTCGTAAAATACTTGTAGATAATTTGGAGCTTTTTTCTATTTCTATTTCTATTTACATTTACATGTATTCTACTCGAGTAACCATTCCTCCCTATATTTCACATCCACATACTTTGTCAAAAATTCCAAAAAACTCAAAAATCAAACCCAGAGCTCAGCATCGATTGATCCAAAAGTCAATTCCTCCAATTCCTCCACATATAAACATTCCAAACATTCCACACATCCACACATCCACAGCCAGCCAGCCAGCCATCTCAATGTTCACAAAAAGAATACGCATGGGCCTGCCACCCCTCTTCGGAAGTTTTAACAAACACACTACGCTCACCCATCAATTTAACTCTATGCTCCTTCGCCTCTTCTATGCCCATCTGTAGTGTATGCGCATCGGTGTTGATGTGTTTGCGTACCATTTCCATTAATTCTGGGGAGAGGTGCATATTCATATTCGCTTGCGAAATAGTGGTATCTGTATCTGCATCTGTATTTGTATTTACGCCCTTTTCATTCAAGAGCGTGACGATTTCAGCAGGGAGTTTAGCTATAGCCGCAGTGCGAGTTTCGGTCGTAGTCCCAAAGATAGAGGAGTTCCACCAATTCATGTGTTGGGGTGGGACATTGGCGGTTGAAATGATGCGTTGCGTGGGGTCTATGAGCCATAGGGCTATGAAGCGTCTATGGCCTGGTTTAGTTGGGTCTTGCAGACGGAATGATGAGACTTTGTGTTGACTTTTTGTATACCACCGATATGTTAGCCTTTCCTCTTTTTTTCTTTATCCTGGGATGCTGGACAAATATAATCTTATTGAGACATGGAGACTTACAAGACGTTTGGGAATGCAAGGAGTCTACCCTGACGAGTATCTACACTGCCATAATTTTGAAGACAGGGGGAGTTGCTGCTGCCGAGACCTGTTCCATAAACTTGCTCTAGCCAATGATAACAATCTTGTCCGACATCGATGTCGTCTTCCATGTAGGCCGATGTTTGCATGCGGAATGAAAGATCACTTGAGGTTATGTTTTCGCTATCGAGGTAGTAGAGTGCTGTGCCACAAATATGTTCATTCATTTGTCCCTCGATCTTGAAGATATGTTAGATGGTATAGTATCAGATTTTGACTAGAGTCATTGTCAATATGAGAAGGTTGAACTGAACTTACATGCCAACCGCCTGTTGGAAACTCGGGGTTTTCTGGTGTGAGTTCTATAGAAGCCATCTTGACGATTATTTGAAGGCCAGATTCTCGGAATTTGTTTACTAGGTGCTTTTCTTCCGCTCTTGTATACTGAACATTTTCGAAAATGGGCTCTGGAATATTGGGCTTGCGTGATTGCTTCCATTTACTCTGGGAGTTTTCATCGCCGTTATTGTCGTCTTCGACATCTTCGATATCTTCGTCTTCCCTTTCTTCAATGTCTTCATCATCATCGTCATTGTGGTCATGTCGAACACCTACTCCCCACGCTGGATTATTTTCTACGTCTGCAACGTCTTCAGGACCCGAAGGGATCCAGTTCTCATTGTTTTCGTCGCTATGATCATGTTAGATATATGCAGCTATTAATCTCAAGGGACGGGAATGAAATCCTTACTCTGCATCATCGGGGTATGGAAACCGGGAATTGACACGTCCAGCTCCATCCTTTTGATTATAATCCACTGCAACCGCAAGGCATTGATCCCACATCGGAAGTGTAGTCTCAATCAACTTCTCGATCGTGCGATAGATGTCAGGAAATTTGTTCGGATGAAGGTTGTTGATGTAGCTAGTAAATTTGACCGTGCCATCATCTTGAAAAGCGACATTGGCTGGCAGCCATTGGTATGTGTCTGACCAGAAGTGGGATGGAACTTTACCAGATCCTACATTGTGAACGGACCCTCCGAACATGCGCAGCTGCGGAGCGAGGTTCGGGTTCTCTTTTGGAATGATATCACCTTTCCCCGCCCATTTCTCAATAGCATCGCTGACTCCAACAATTTCGTCCTTCAAAACTTTGCTGCGGCCGTAGACTAAAGGATACATCGAAGGATGCACCAGATTCTGAACCATATCGTTTGAATTGGGATGCCAATCGACTTCGGAAGACTGATCAAGCTTGAGTGTATCAAACGCTTTGCGTAAAGAATCGTGAAGATCTATGGAGACTAGACCGTCTGCTTTCGCAATAGAGGCACATGCGTCGAGTGTCGGGATAATACCTGTCTCCCGGTAGAACCGAGCCTTGCTCCGAAGCTCCTTAATACACTTTTGAACATATTAGCGTGAGAGAGATTAAGATGTCAATGGCTACTTACGCAATTAAAACTGTCGTCGCTCATAATGCCTGTCAACGGTTTGAGGCGTTCGGAATTGCTATCGGCATTTATTATAAGCTTCCCTTCACGATCCCACTGTTGGACCTTATCACTAATTGCTAGATTCCAAAACTGTTCGTCTGGAATAGCTCGAGCTTCTTCACGCCACTTGGATACAATTTTCTCGTCGAAGACTTTTAGGTGCCATTCTTCCTTATCCGTGAGGCGATCCATGATACTCATCATGGCAAGCTCTCGGATAGGAAGCATATCAGAATTAGCACCCGAGCAACCGCCATGAGCTCCGATGGGATAGTGCCCGTATCTATCCTGTGATTCGTGACGTATAGGAAGGCCAAGGCCGGGATAGTCTGGCATGGCTGGTGATTTCGTGGTGAGACGCCTATTCGCTTTGTTGCAATTTAGAACGTGATAAACAAGGTAGGCACAAGAGCGACAGACTGGAGGGTAGTCAATTATTTTAAGACAACGTAAACTTGGAGGGCTGTTGTGTGAGAATTAGCAATTATCATATGGGTTATCATTGGGTTTTATATTTCACACTCAGATAATTAGCAGGGTAGCAGAATTAGCAATACGTATTGATTAAATGATAACCCTTGATATTCTGCCTGCTCTGCCTAATGAGTAGGGATAGAACTTTAGGTAGCGCTCCATATCTAGTTGTTATTGATGGAGACTGTTGATAATGAGTTATAGTAGCTATCTCTTGTCCTAACCAGAAACGGATATGATGCCTAAAATTGACGATCATATCTCATGGTCCGTGATTGATCACGTGTCCAACCCCCTATCTCCTCGGACAACTACCTCTCGGCTCCCATTTGTAAGAAATTGAACAGGTAGATATGTGTTACACTGTTATAAATACATTTTGCTATTGTTATTTTCGATAAATTCATTGTAATAAATAGTGTTGAAATACTATCATTTATAAAGGTTCTAAAGAATTAGATCGGAAATCACACGATTCTTTATACAAACTTAAGTACCGGTACCGTTAGTTCCATGAACTTTGTAGATGCTAGTAACATCCAGTCTGTTTGTACCTATACTTAAATAGGTCAAATATCCAAATACTATAAGTTGAATATTATCAATGGTAGTATATTCTTTGCTACCAAAGAGGTCCTACATTCACTACAACTCCATATCGATATCTATATCACAAGCAGCCTCATTAATCCCGCCACTAGTCCCACCCCACGCCTCATACCGGTACCGGTATTCAATATCTTCTCCCTACAATCTCTACTTGAGTATAAAAAGTCCTAAAGATTACACTCTCAGAAATGACAGCTCAATAGGCATACTATTTGGTTTAAACATTATCAAGGCGGGAGATCGATTCCGAGTTTTGAATTTCACCCTCACACGGCCGTATACCTCGTCACATATCTACTATGAGATTTCGATCTGAACAAGCTACCCTTACAAATTGCAACAAACTTTTCTTACTGTTATCACTTATTTTAAAAGCCTATTGTTACTCTCGCCTTCACTGCCTTCACTACCTTCACTGTCCATTACTGATACATCGAATACTCAAAGACAATCCTAATATACAACACCAACTAAATTTCAATCTATCCCATCCCATCCCTTCAGAACCCCATATATTGCATCACATAGCAACATCTACTCCGAGACTACACACCCTCACCTCAAATTAGATTGAGCGAATCGGGTTTCCTTTCCCTTTCCTTCGCTTCCCTTCCCATATCCATCTATGTATCCTTAAACATCAAAAATTGAAGCGCAAAACAAAACCCAACCAATTATGCCTGTGGCATCTGCCAATGGATAGATAGTCATTGAGTGAGATTCTTCTGTCAGGAATTTGTCAATACCTTGCTGTGGAGACATAATTAGTTTCTTTTATACATGTACACGAGTACCACGAATCCTTTAAATATTCACTTGCCCGGTAGGAATCATGACCTGCCCTCTCCCCTCCCCCCCTCTCTCCCATTTTATCATGTATGAGAGTACTATATAAGAAGACTTCAAAAGGGATGGATGGTGAAGACAGTATTCAGAGCAAGATAATGAGTAATTGAAGAGCTATGTATATGATTCAACACAACAAACCTCTCATGCACAAACCAGCCCAAACTACTCGAGTAGAGTCTAGTAAGTATTCCTCTCGCCATTTCATTGTATTGTTTCTTCCAACCTTAGAATTACCACCATCGCCATCAAGTTTTCACCATCACATCACCATCACCATCACCACTACCACCACCACCAACGAAACTCAAGTAATAAGTCAACTCTCCGCTCCTTCCATTCATACTATTCATTTCTCCCACCGTATCTCTTCAAGTTTTAACCAACTTTCCTATCGCGAATCGCGACCCAAAAATCAAACTAAACGTACAACTCTTCCATACCCACTCTTCCCATTAGGGTCCCCCTTCCTCCTTTCCCCGTTCCCCGTTTCGTTCCAGCCTCACTGTCCCACAATCCCACGAAACATACAGTACCCATCAACTCCAACAACCAAGAAATATTAAACATACACCACATGCACGCGCTCCAAGAAAGCACAAAGCACAAAGCACCGATGTTATAACTTATAAGAAGATTGATTGCACCACCCACATCCACATCCACAGTGCAGCTCAAACATTATTTTCTTCTCCTCTTCTCTCCTCTTCTCTCTATATCTCACACTCCTCACTCCACACCCCATCAATATCAGTATCAGTATCAGTATCCCTCATATCAGTATCAATATCAGCATCAGCATCCTTGAGATTCCAACCCCCCTTCTCCCCCTTCCCCGCACTATATTCCAAAAAAAAATGCAAAAATCCATCTATCCTATTTACCACCACACCACTCACTCACTCATCAAAACCCCATTATCACCATTCACCGTTCACCACCTATACCCATAATCGTTATTTCGTACTATTCCCATCTCCAATGCCATGCCATGCTCACTATTGTCTTATCTTATCCAAGCTAAGCTATCATCAAACCACCCACTATCTCACAATTGCTGAAACTATCCAAGCCATTGATTAACGTCTACCTTAGACTTTAGTTTAAGCTACTATGATAATATGAATCATATGATACACGCCAACTTCCACGCAAGCCAGCGGACTTAGCTTATTATCATTCATCATCACCCACTTGAGCAACTCTCACTTACTGATCATTGCAACCTTTGTTATAACTCTACTCTACTCTACTCACCTATCACACCCTTAAAGTTCAACCTGCACTAGGCACATGCTATAAAGTAAATTTCCTTAATTGTTCTCCTACTTGTGCTTTTCTAATTCAATACTCTCCGTCATAGTCATACCCCAATTCTCTTCTCCAGCTAACTACCCCCTTCTCTGATGTCAGCTAATATCTGATCAACACTCGCTACTCAGGAGACCAAGAGGTCAGTAAGACAAAGATGTGTTTCCAACATTCCCCACCGACACACTTCCCCCTCCTATTTCACCACGATTTCTAAAACCCTCTCTTTCCTGGTTTTTGTAAATCTCCCCAAGCTGCCATAACTTGTTTCTTGAGCTCTTTGTACGAAACAATAAAACTATTCTCTCCATCCCTACTAGTCAACTGAATCTTTTCTTCCGTTCCGGCATCCAATTTATTCAAACACTTCAGCATCCACGCCATATCGGTAACTGGTCTCCCTTCCGCATCAACGGGATGAAATACATAATCTCTGAATAACTTCAGTATATATCGTTCTCCATGTTCACTCCAGTTTGTATCATTATCATATTCAGGCCGCTCGTTGATATTGCCCAATTTGGCCATCAATCGGACGAGACGAGCATTTTCGAGCTCGCGACAGATATCAGAGGTCAGTCCGTCATTGGCTTGTAAGGATGAATCGAGGGCACTGGCCATGCGGTCGGAGATGCCTCGCATAAAGGTTTGTAAGTCTTTAGTTTCGGTGGGAGAAGGTGGCGTGAGAAGCCATCTGATTGTGTCAATGAGCTCCACGGAGTAGATGCGGCTGATACTGAGGCCATCGACATTAGTTTGCATGACCTGAGGGTTTGATTGGGGTGTGATTGATGCGTTAACTGTGGCTAGAGACAACATGAGCGTGCCGAACAAGTGTAGGTCTTCATCTTGAAGTTCTTTTATTGGGCGTTGTTGTTCATAATGAATGATATCGAACACAGAACATGCATTTAGACGAATTCGATTTTTGTCGGTAAGAATAACTTTGCTCAGATGCATGCATCGTACAGCATATTTAGCATCATGCACAGCCTTAATGGCTATGGTAATTTGTGCAATATATGCCCATAGAGTTTCTTCAGATATTCGGGAATTAGGTCGATTTCCATATCGGTTTATGTTTGTGGTAGGAAAATGGACTTCTAAAAGAGTCTTCGAAAGTGGGTGATAATTTGTGACAATGATTAAGGAGCTACCATCTTTAAATTCTCGTGTGGTAAAAGCATCAATGAATGATACCACGCCCGCGCTGTTGACATCTGTTTGCCATTTTTTAACAGCTTGAATTGCCTTTTCATTGGTGAGGTGATATCCTATCATCAATCAGTATTGGTCCACTTGTATTTAAAGATGTTTATCTCACCCTCCAGTCTTCGTAAGCAGTAATGTTTCCCATTTCTTGTTGCGGTTGCCTTGTATACCCAACTTGGACATCCAAAAACGGTAGTACTCCTATTTTGTGTCGTATCCAGAGCGACTAAAGAATGGTATGATACCGGCACACCAAGAGTCGGAAGGGTAGCGTCTTATTGAGTTAGCATTAAAGTCACCATCGCAATTGCTAGACTTACTTGGCATTACTTGAAGAGAAGCTTCAGATTTTCTTTGGAGTTCCTCGCGGAGCCTGTCGGATAGAAAAAGATCGTGGATAGACCTTTGGTAGTTTGCCAAATCTTCCTTATGTGGACCGATGGGGGCATAGAAGTGATAGTTCAACGGCTGGACGTTATAGCTTGGCTGTCCTTGGTAGAATGCTGCTCCGCTTGTTGCCAAATTGCCAACATCCTCTGAATAGTGGTTCTGAAATGAGGTGGGAATTGCTTGAGAGACGTTTGCCATCGAGAAATGATCATAAGGATTTTCCGGTGTGGCACCATTAGTGGGGATCTTGTCTTGGATTAGTATGTAGTTCAGTCAAATGTCTAATAGGTGCCACATGACACTCTTGAATGCACAAACTAGGTTCAACATTAAGATAGTGTTCGAGGATAAGTACGCTTACATTCTGAGAGAGATCATAGTTCTGGTTGTGTGGAGTAAAGTCTCTGGTTTGTGATGGATTAAATTGAGCTATTTCTGGGTCGAGCTGAGCAGTTGGTGTAGCAGTCCCGCTCGTAAGACCTCGAGGTGTGAATGGAGCCGCACTCGCAGCTTGAGAAGTGATAGACCCTCCTTTATTGGGTGCGGGTATAGCTGCTGGTGTGAAGGCAGGCGAATCGACATTCAGCGTTTTCTTGGGCCTATCATTGTCAGGGTCAGTTTTGAACAATGAAGACCTTGTGGTTGGTCTCTCTTTCGATTTCGAATATATAATAGGTTGCTGATTCGGGGTATCAATGTCGTCTTTTTCAAGTCTGCCCATACTAGCAAACGACGGGGCTTCCGTACTTGACTGATCGGACCCTTGCCGCTTGTTTGAAGCAGCATTCTTGGACCATGATTCAATTACACCAGGTGAAGCATAGTAAGGAGGTGAAACGGTGGAAAAAGGTGAGAGATTGAGAGGAGCTGGGACATTGAGCCCAAGTGAAACCTTGGAATTGGCTGAGACACCGACAGGAGCCGGGGCATTAGAACGAGCCGAATCGATGGAAAGAGTCGGAATCGTTGCATTAAGAGGTCTTGGTATGCTAGACCCCCTTTCTACCAAATATGACTCGCGAAAGTTTCTCGGCAAACTTGACTGATTCTTTGCATCTGCCTGACTATTCTCCTTCCCAATGCTAACAGATTCACGAATGTCAACATCAACATCTGCACCATTTGACACGAGGGAAGGCTCCGGTGCAACAGCAGACTGTATAGATTCCTCAAAAGGTATTGGAGGTTGTGTTTGACTGATGTTTCGTAACTGCTTTTTCCATCGTCCTGTTCGTGGTGTGGTGTTTGGCTCGAACGAATCGGGTGATTGTTGGATTTCATCAGATACCGAGACTTTTGTTCCATTCTCGAGAATCGATAGTGATTCATTGGAAACCGAGCCTCGTCCAGATCCTCGATGGTTTTTGCGAGTTTTCTTCCGGCGACTGGGTAACGCCAATTGATCTTGGAAATTTGGAGGTTCCTTCTGGTCTTCTTCCTGCTGTAAAAACTTTCTATCTTCAGCTTCGGCTTTGTCTTTGTCTTCTTCAGACCTGAATATTCGACCCACGATTCGACCAGCCATATGGCCAATGCTGTTCTTCATATTTTCCATCCCGTCAAAATTTCATTGTTGTGAATTTTACCAACAGAACGTTGTACAATGAAGACGAAATAAGCACGTAGTTGGTATTGTGAGGACCGAAATACCAACAAGACCATAGTGATAACAGGATAGGCAGTAGCGCATCCGTAAAAATCCAAGTATAGCAGGAGCCATGCACGAGAGAACGTGATCAGAAAGAGTTGTAGTGGGTGTACCCTCAATGCCCAAATGTCAAGGTTGTTTTGAAAATAAGAAACAAGAGGTTGATCAGTTCCGATATTGAATAACAATCTCGAATTTGGCGCACTGTTCGAAATGACGAAGGGGGACCACAAGAGACGATATAGCAAATACAACAATTCCGAAGCGCATTTTCTTTCCTCGACAAAAACCGCTCCAAGCACATCACCAAGCAGCACATTGTAAATCATAAGGGTATGATTTCATCAGTCTGCCATGTCAAAGCAGCCCTACATGAGGGGTCGAAATCGTTGGGAGAGTGCCACTTTCTTCGAAGTCCTATCCCGATCCAGTCCCAATAGTACCCTATGTTTCGATTCCTAGAAGCGAATGGCAAATTCCCGAATCAAGGTTCGATTGATGTTCCATATATTTGGCGAAATCGAAGAGAGCCATGTCTTGGATATCAATGAAGAAATGAAAATCGACTCACTGATCAATGACTCCTCCAAGCCCTTTGTTAGGATCATGGTTAAAAGCGCAGCCTTGATCCTCATAGCGGCAATGTCCATATATCAGGACATTTCGACATAGTGTGTCCTTTGCGTTCTCTAGTACAACCTCGTCAATATCTATTTTCTTTTCCTAAGCATATCCACCCAAGAATGCGCCCAACACATACCACGTCCTTTCGGCCTTGGAGAACTCGTCGGTCTGCGAAGTTCTGGTTGGTTGAATCTTGTAGCCGCCATTGTATTATATTCTATTCTAATAATGTCTTTTGCTTCGGAAATAATATAACTAATGGCCGAACCCCAATGACACTTTAGGAACCCTAGTGGTAGGAGATGATGTTAGCTGAGTCCAATTCAATTGCTGCGACAAGGTTTCTCATAATCTAGTATCCTCGCAAGAAGGTTGACTCGAGTTCCGCGTAAAGGGATTGAAATGAAGGGGGGGGGGGGGGTCATGAATGTGCTTTGTTGCTCACTTGAATCTGGCGGACATTTCCTAGAATCCAATAACACGGAAGATGATTGATTCTCAATACAATGAATTATATAAGGAAATATAGCCAATGAAAAAGCTGGTAAAATTAATGTGATGCCCAGCACATTCAACTCAACGAGGGTTTAGATAATAGTTGTGATGAGGCTGAAGATACTAAACAATACAGTAAGTAGTTAGAATGACGCGGGGTGGAGGTTCTTTGGTTCGTTCTTTGAGGTGGAAAGTTATGCGATCCGATAAAGAAGTACTCGCTTGTACTATGTAACAAATCATGGAGAACAAGTGGATCAGTAATGTTCAGCCTTAGTGGCATCAACCAGGTATATCGGTATAATGGTTTATCCGAAGCCGATGATGTGGCTTGAATATTGAAACAATCATCATTGATTCTAGAAGCTCAAGACATTATCTACCGGTACTATGATATCACAGTTCCACCTTGAGTTATAAAACTACCTAGGTATTCACTCATATCTAACCACCCCCAGCCTTCATTCCTACTATGAAAATATAGGTCAAGGAAGTACCTGTCTTTCGGACAATACAACAAACAAACAAACAATGGCTACTACTCCAGATGCCGATATAAGCCAGCTGTCCGAATCGCAGCAGGCAGCTTTACAACAATTGCTTGCGGTAACCGGTCAAGAAGTCGATCAAGCTGTACCTTTACTGCAGAGATCACAATGGAGTGTTGAGGTGAGAATTTGAGCCATGTCTTCCAATCTGCTAGTACTCGTACTAATTCTTAATAGATAGCAATCGCAAAATTCTTTGACGGCGAAGATGATTCCTTGACGACAGCAGGCCTAGCAGCTCAGAATGTCCCACCTCCGCGAGCTTCAAGACAAGAAAATCTTCAATATAGCCTCCTCAACGAATCATCGAATCGATCAAGAGCGCAAAATGTGGACTCGGCTCCAAGAATCGTTCCTCAACCAGAAGATCAAGTAATTCGACGACCAAACCTTATATTCGCTTTACTATTTACACCATTCAGTGTGCTCTACAAGATCTTCTCTCTAGGATATAGAGCCTTCGCGTTCCTATTCCCTTTCTTACCAAGGCTCGCACCTACAGGCTCATCGAATACAATGGGACGGAGGTCACTTAAACCGAGAGATGCTGCAACACGTACAAAGCGCGAATTTGAGGAAGAGTATGGATCTAACAATCTACCATTCTTCGATGGGGGTTATGCTCAAGCTTTGGATCTTGCGAAGAAAGACCTCAAATTCCTCATTGTTCATTTGATGTCGCTAGAACATGACGATACATCTGATTTCGTCCATCAAACCTTACTATCGGAGGAAGTCACCACATTTCTTGGTGATTCAACCAACAACTTAATATTCTGGGTAGGAGATGTTTGCGATTCAGAAGCATATCAAGTCTCCTCAGCTTTGCGATGTACCAAATTTCCATTTACAGCTCTAATTACCCACACACCCGATCAAGGAGCCGCATCAATGTCAGTTATTGCTAGAATATCTGGACAGGAGGCACCTCGGGCATTCGTTGCAAAATTACAAAGCGCAATAGGACAACATTCCGAAAAATTAGCCGCCGTTCGTGCACAACGTTCCGCGCAAAACTTCGAGCGCACATTAAGAGAAGAGCAAGATTCTGCCTATGAGCAATCTTTGGCACAGGATAGAGAACGTGCTAGACAGAGAAAGGAAGCAGAATCTGCGGCGGCAGCAGAGGAGAAGAGAAAGAAGGATGATGCAGAAGCCGCTGTCAAACTGGCCGAAAATCGAAAACATTGGAAACAATGGCGAGTGCAAACCATCAAAACGGAACCCGAGCCCGGAACAAATGTAGTCCGAGTAGCATTAAGGATGCCAGAAGGTGCAAGGATTACCCGTCGCTTTGAGGCCGATTCCGAGATTGAAGAACTCTACGCTTTTGTAGAATGTCACGACTTACTAGCAGACGGCAAAGAATACAGTAGGCAAAAGCCGGAAGGATATGAACATAAATATAATTTCAGACTCGTTCAAAGTATACCGAGAGCCGTATATGAAGTTGGAGAAGGAGGAACAATTCTGGAAAGGGTTGGCAAGAGTGCAAACTTAATTGTGGAATCTGTTGATGACGAAGATGATGAATGAGAATAACAAATGAGGTGTCTGTCTGTCTTAGCTCATAATGCTATACATATCATTTAATAGGCGTTTGGATCGGTTCTGGTTTGGTTTGGTTTGGTTTTGGTTTGGAGTTTTATATCTATAGTTGTATTTGTATTTGTATCTGTATCTGTATCTGTATAAACGCATCACTGCGAGCGAGGTAATTATAGAATTTACATACAAAAAATAAACACATCTTTCATCTTCCATCTTTCATTCTTTCTCTTTCAAATAATCATCATCATCATCATCAATCCTTCAAGTTGTAATAGCTGACTACCTCTACCTCTACCTCTACTTCAAGTTTTTCAATAAACAATAACAAATACAAATACAATAGACAAAATACCCAAAAAAAATACCAGTTTAATATAATAAATAACCTATCAACCTATCAGATCTCATTCGTGAATTACTCTACTTTACTCTGGTCTAGTCTAGTCTATCTATCTATCTATCTATTCTATACCCATCCCCCTGAAAGAATCTATCTCATCAATTACTCTTGAGTACTCAAGTACTCTCCTACACTGAGTACTCTAGTCTAGGTGCTTACTAGTAAAGTATGAGATATACCGGTATAATATATACATACTCGTACAACATACACAAAGTTGGCTGGCTAATTATCTCAACTAGTACTATACAGCCTGGTTATAGAAAGTATTTGGTTCGTTCATAGAGTAGAGTTTAATTTGGTTTGATGTTGATATATTGATATATTGAACATCTTCAGAACAATAAACTCGAATTTATAATTTATTTAGGATTAATATCAATCACAGATTACTCTGGAATTATATACTCATAGCCAATCATCTTAGGAATTTCCTACATCATATCAAATCATATCAAATCATTCACATTAAATCACATCAATCCATCTACAGCACAAAACACAAAAACGCAAAAGAATAGAAGAGAAAATCATTCAATTTTTCATTTCACTTCACTTCACTTCCTCCCTTCACTAACTAACTACTACTACTATCCCCCATTTTCATCATAAATCATAAACCCCCAATCCCCAATCTCATTTCAGATCTCGATACATACATAATCTGCATCGCTAGAAAGAAGAGAGGGTATAATGTGTGTATGCAATGCAAATAACAATGCAACAGCGCAAAACCTGCAAGCCAAAGCAAAAGCAAGTACAACTGCAAATGCTTAAATGAGAAGGATGACTTGTATACAAAGTTTGGGTACCCATTTGACATTTAGAAGACTATCCCCCCTATGCATCATCATTATTAGCTCCTCAATATTGTTGTCATATGTCCAGCTTCGTAGACGTCAATCATAACTGTCCACTCAGTCCTCCACTCAATCCTCCATTAAAAGTGTGACATTTAAGCCGCAGATTCAGCCGTGGATTCAGCTGAAGCCTGGGCTTCAGCCTCAAGTGCTGCCGCTGCTGCTGCTGCCTTCTTTGCCTTCCTCTTCCTGCCATTAGGCTTTGATGGGGAAGCTCCCGAGGTCGAGGAAGTTGGGGATGTTGGAGATCTTGGGGAAGTTGGTGTTGTTGGCGATGATAATGACTTCAACTCAATAACCTTAACATCTTGCTTAATCTGACTGAGTCCCTTCTCATTCAAAAAGACACCCTCTTGAGTAATCAACTCAACCTTAGTCAAAACATCCTTGTTATCGAATTTCTCAGTTGTGGTCTTAATCTCGGTCAATAAACCATCTTGAGCAGAGATGCTTGTAATGATTTCCTTGACGGAAGTTTCAAGACCAGAGATATCGGTTTCCTTGAAAGATGGAGCCGGGGCGGATTTAATCTCGTCAACAGTAGTTTGAACGGAGGCGATGGAAGATTCGATGTTAGAGAGATCAACCTTTTCTGGTGCAGGTGAAGCCTTAACTTCTTCAATAGCGGCCTTGATATCAGAAATAGATGACTCAATTGAGCTGAGATCAATCTTCTCTGGTGCTGGGGTAGCCTTGATTTCATCAATAGAGACCTTTACGGCTGCGATAGATGATTCAATGTTGGAAAGATCAACAGCTTCGTGAGATGCAGCTGGGGTAGCCTTGATCTCATCGACAATAGTCTTGATGGAAGCAATTGACGATTCAATGTTTGAAAGGTCGACGGCTTCGTGAGATGCAGCTGGGGTAGCCTTGATCTCATCGACAATAGTCTTGATGGAAGCAATTGACGATTCAATGTTTGAAAGGTCGACGGCTTCGTGGGTTGCGGCTGGGGTAGCCTTGATCTCATCGACGGTAGTCTTGATTAAAGCAATTGACGATTCAATGTTGGAAAGATCAACAGCTTCGTGAGATGCAGCTGGGGTAGCCTTGATCTCATCGACAATAGTCTTGATGGAAACAATTGACGATTCAATGTTTGAAAGGTCGACGACTTCGTGGGTTGCGGCTGGGGTGGCCTTAATTTCATCAACGGTAGCCTTAACAGCTGCGATGGCAGATTCGATGTTAGAAAGATCAACATCCTTGTGCTCAGGAGCTGAAGTAGCTTTGATCTCATCAACGGTGCTCTTGACTGAAGCAATCGATGCCTCAATTGCACTCAAATCAACCTTCTCGAAAGATGGTGCCTCCTTAGCTTTGATCTCATCAACGGTGCTCTTGATTGAAGTAATCGATTCCTCAATTGCACTCAAGTCAACCTTCTCAGAAGCTGGTGCCTCCTTAGCATTAATCTCATCAACGGTGCTCTTGACCGAAGCAATCGATGCCTCAACTGCACTTAAATCAACCTTCTCGAAAGCCGGTGTCTCCTTAGCCTTGATTTCCTCAATAGTTGCCTTAATAGACTCGATGGAAGATTCAACCTTGCTCAAGTCAACAGATTCTTGAACTGGTGTTTCCTTAGCCTTGATCTCGTCAACAGTGTCCTTGATCGAAGCAATAGATGCCTCAATTGCACTCAAATCAACTTGTTCAGAAATTGGTGCCTCTTTGGCCTTGATTTCCTCAACAGTTGTCTTGATAGACTCAATAGAAGACTCAATCTCGCTCAAGTCAGCCTTCTCAGAAACTGGTGCCTCCTTGGCCTTGATTTCCTCAACAATTGTCTTAATCTCGTTGACAGAACTCTCAATGGTGGAGAGGTCAGTCTTTTCTGGGGTTGGAATTGACTTGATCTCGTTGAGGGTACCGGTGTGGGATTCGAGGGCTGCCTTGATTTCAGCAACGGAGGATTCGAGAGCGGAAAGGTCAATTGGTGCAGGGGCTGAAGCCTTGATCTCCTCAAGTGTAGTCTTGTGGGAATCGAGAGTAGAGACGATAGGAGAGAAATCAACTTCTTTAGTAGCGGCACCAGTAGAAGTCTTGATGTCCTCGAGAGTGGCAATGATTTCCTTCACGGATGATTCCAATCCAGAGATGTCAATTGGTTCAGCAGTAGCAGCTGGCGTGGAGGTAGATTCCTTGATAGCGGCAACGTTAGAAGCAACTTCCTTGAATTGTGCATCAATTGAAGAAAGGTCGACAGTTTCGTGAGCAGGAGCAGGAGTAGACTTGATCTCGTTGACAGTAGCAGAGATTTCCTTGACGGATGCCTCTAATCCGGAGAGATCGATTTTCTCGACGGCGGCAGATGGAGTAGAAACAGTTTCCTTGACTTCGGCTAATGTAGAGAGGACCTCCTTGACGGATTCCTCTAATCCGGAGAGATCGGTTCTCTCGACGGCGGCAGATGGAGTAGAAACAGTGTCCTTGACTTCGACTAATATAGAGAGACCCTCCTTGACGGAAGATTCAAGACCCGAAATGTCGACAGTGGAAGGTGCGGGTGCAGACTTGATCTCTTCGATTGAAGCAGCAATATCCTTGATCGAAGCTTCAAGACCAGAAACATCAGTTGGGATAGAAGCAGGAGTGGATTTGATCTCGCCAAGAGTTGAGGCATGACCTTCAGCAGCAGACTTAATCTCAGTCAAAGCTGCAGCGTGGGAAGCATGAGACTCGTTTGAAGTGTTGACAGCGGAGAGGATATCCTTGGAAGTGGAGCTGGAGTCCAATTCCTTGATAGCAGAAACATCACTCTTGATGGTAGCAAGCTCGGATGTGATTGTGTTGAATGCCTCCTCATGTGTAGTACTCTTAAGAGCTGCAATCTCGGTAGCAATACCATCCAGCTTTGTAGTATGCGATTCCAAGACTGAGGTATCTTGGGAAGAAGATTTCTCACTCAACCCCTCCAATGAAGATGTAATCTTAGCAATGGCCGCCTCAATGGCAGCTAATTTGGTTGCAGTCTCCACCTTTGTATCTTCGATTCGTTGAGTAAGGTCGGCAGCGGTAGCAGTGAGTTTCGAATCGACAGCATCGACATTGAGGGAAACATTTTGAATGGCAGTAGGGATAGAGCTGATGGATGATTCGAAGGTTGGTTTAATGTGCGAGACCAAAGAAGCAGCAATAGCGGTGGTAAATGCCTCAGTATTCAAAGCCTTCTTGACAGCTTCTTCGATAGCTTGCTCAACAATTTCCTTATCCCGAGCAGCTCGTTCAGCAGAAGCTTGCGAAGTCTCTCCGTCGGAAGTAGTGGTAGTTGTGCGAGAGAGAGCAGCTTCAAGAGCCTTGGGGGAAGTGGTACGACCTAACAAACGTCCGAACATGGTTGGATTGAAAATTGCGTATGGGAGGTGAGTAATGTATCGAAAAAGAGACATCCGGGAGAACCTGGACGTTTACTTTCTCTTCTACTCACTTTCCTTTCTTGTGAGATGGCAACACAAGAAAAAAGAGGAGATGGAGGGACTTGCAGACGGAAAAAAAATCAGAAGACTGTGATCAGACTACCAGTGTGATATGGTAAGCTCTACCTATTCCAATTGTGGGAGATAGGACAAATGATGAGCAAGGAAAACGACCAGGTTGAATTGAGGTGGGTTGGTATGGTTGGATAGGAAGATGTGTAAGATGTGAAAGATGTGGAAGATGTGGGAAAGATGGGAGGACAAATAAACAGAATTGAGGTTAAAGTGAAAATTTGTTGTTGAACCATGAAATAAATTATTATCCACTTTATTCAATTTTACCCAATAAATTTACAGTACAGTGAATACTTTGATTGTGATTTTGAGAGAGATTCAATTTTAGAGAAGTGAATACCAGTAGGTAAATTCAATATGGTTGGATGATAGGTAATTATTTAGATAATTTTATACAATTTATAACAACTTCTTTTATTTATTTATTTTTGAGTCAAAATGAGGTTATCGATGAGTTTGGTGAGGGGTTGGGCGAGTTAACTTTTAACTTTCTTAGTCATACGCGGGCCGCTCAATTCCACTAGTTCAGTCAGGGTCTATAAACCTTGCAAGTCATCAAGCTAACCTATTATAGGTATACCCTTGTTATTCTCAAGAGGGTTTGTTGTCAAGTATATTTGACCGCTTTACAATTTATATAGGCAGAATAATATATCATTTAGAGAAGAAGCTCTCCCCTCACGAATATGTATGCGGCTCCGAATAATGTTGTCGATGTTTGAATGTGAGTGATTGTGATTACTATAACTTTACCATTAAATACTATATAATGGTAAAGCAATTTCATTACCGTTATTGTACTCCTTTGTATTATCAATAGATCCAGATAACTAATAACTCGGGGTCATCAATATAATTAATTATGGATTCTCCAATAAAAACTGTGCCCGCATTATTGTTAATGGATTAGAGAATGAATTGAGAGATAGAATAGGTTGTTGACGTGCTGGCAAAAAAAAAAAGTGTACCGGCATATGTGTTCTTGTTGTATCGTGGAACCCTTGGAGACTTGATGACTTTCTATGAGTTTTGAAGTTCGAATAGGAATTATGTATTAGAATCGGTAGCCTTATTCTTTCGATAGTATAAAGGGTATGATATATGATACAGCTTGATTTAATATGAAATTCGGGTTTGGCAGATATCTCGAATTCGGTATGTCTATTAATTCCGAGTTCTTCCGCCACAAGCGAATTTGATCGAAAGAGGTTGGGTATATGTGATCATGTGATGTGACAGCGACGGGAAAGTGAAGATCTTCTCTGAGTCTCTGCTCAGTCTGGTCGGATGTTGTAGGTCACTATGCCTTGGCGTGACTATCATTTAATGAATACCGGTAACTCGTACTCGTCACTGCTATTTCATCTCTCTGTCAGTTGCATTCATCAATTGCTTTTGATCACGCCAGATAATCAATTAATATTCCCTCTTCTATCTATATCACGGAAGTGATGGCGAATAGTGTAATCGACTTTCTCGCACAACAACAACAACAACAACAACAAACACACTGCATAATAACTTCCTCAGGTAACGTAACGTAACGTAACGAATAGATCCTATCACTCTCAACATCCGGCGCAACACCACCCATTAAATGATATTATATGATGTGTACTTGAACGACTCTATCATCAATTTGTCACAGTATTGTTCCAGAGACATCAAGTGACTCATTTTATATCCTCTACATGTATTCGAGCTTTCCGCTTTCCGCTTTCCGCTTTCGAGGTCGAGGTCGAGGTGGAGGTCGCAATCGCAGGCTTGGTGACTTGAATATACTACCCGGCAAGTAGTGTAGCAGGCAAGTGTAGTAGTATTGTCCTAGAGGGTTCGAAGAGATGAGGGGCCCACGAGTATTTGACCATCAAGATCCTCACCAATTCCTCTCAAGTTTTCCGAATCTGCCAATAACCTCTCTGTCCCCCTTTCATTCGCAGATTTGGATTCAAGGAATGGTTTTTAGAGTTGACGAGTCACTGTCTGGATTTTACCTATATACCGGTAGGTAGGTATCCGTTAGAAACTGAATCATAACCTATCTATTACTGTCTGATGTCTGTCGACTGCAAAATTGCGGGGACTATATCTGAAAGAGTAGAAATTTCTACCTGTGTTAATCTTGGAGTTTGTGTATCGATTGCGATGCAATAGTGTGATGTTGAGGGGAGTTATCTTCCATCATACTCGAGTACAGTACCTACTCATGAAGGGTACGTATCAAATTACGGCGACCGAGAATTGCACAATGTGCATTCTGATGGATGAATGGATGAACGTTTTCACATGGCTCCAATAATTTCTCACCAAAATGTACATCCAAACATTCAATTTCAAGCCTTAACCAGGTGTTACCCTTCAATATCCGAATTCCTTAGGTTCTCTTTCAAATTATCAAAACCAGACTTGTTCTCACACCTAGCATGACATGATTCAAGCAAGCGCTTGAGATTCACATCTTAATCCTTTCTCATTATCTTCCTCCTCATCTTCATCTTCATATCTTCTTTATCCTCCTAAATATCTATTTATCACATCTTAATCCTTCCTCATTATTTTCTTCCTTATCTTTATCTTTATATCTTCCTTATCCTCTTGTTGGATATCTATTTATCATCATCTTATCCATTAATTGAGATTGACGTACTTTACTTTCCCTTCTTTCCTAAGCAAATAAAAAAATAATGCAAGAAGTCTGCATTTTAAACTCTATACCAAGAACACCAATTTCGATGCCTGCTTTACCAAAGACGATTCTTGAGCTGTAGTCATAGCATAGCAGAAAAAGACGCAGTAGTACGATTATATACTTGTATCTGATGTTCCTGCTGATTTACCGAAAAGTTTCTGAGAATTGAATATCTTTGCCATTCAACAACCTTTGGGGCCACAACTTGTTCGGCTGTAATGGCCTTGTAGTTTGGCGTTTCACTTCATTATTATTTATGATGCTCTGAATTTTAATAACATCATAGTTATTTCCTTATCTTTGATACAATAGCAGTGTGTAACGCTATCACGAGATTTAAACCCGCTTGAGATGGTGAAGTTTCTGCTTGAGCAAATCCCTTATAATTGGAATATGTGTTACGGACTATTAGTTGCATCATGCAGAGCAGTACCTTCAAAGCGACATTCCCACCGTTCAAATTTCTGAAGGATCTTCTTTTACACCACTTTGAACAACGTTTCGTGAATCAACCAAGGCTGCATGCATAGTATCTTTAAGAAGCAGATGAAGTTCCAGACGGCTTCTCCAACCATCTCTATCTAACTCTATTGCCGAACCTCCAGACGGCTTCTCCAACCATCTCCATCTAACTCTAATGCCAAACCCGCCAGCACGACTCTAGCAAAAAGCACGTTATGCAATTGAGAGCAAATCTTGATACGCTTCTTTAGATCTCATACCGATTTTACAAATCTATCTTTGGGATATTTTCAGTGGGTGGATAATATTGAAATTGAAGACACAAATGTATCATTTCAGTTTGTGGAGTTTTAAGTCACGACACTGCTGGCAAATGACAATGGGACTTCTTATGATTCAGCTTGCACGTGCACCCAATAATTTGTGGTTGAGGTTTGGAATGGGATATAGAAAGGGATAGGATGGGATAGGATAGGATGGATAGAATCCATGGAATAGGATAAGATGATCAATGAGAAAAGAAAACAAGAGAAGATATAGTATATCTCCATAGTAATCTTGAAAATTCTAGTTCTTTCGTCTATAATAGTATAATAGGTGTATTATATAGAAAACAATAATGGGCTAAACACTCGAGTACTAGCAATCAGGTTTGAAATTTTTGAATCAAAGAGGAGGATTTAAAGAAGAAAGGAAGGGTAGGGTATATGGAGTGAAATTAATTAGAGTACTTATTATTATATTTTTATTATGTTATATCATTTATATTATATTATATCAAAGTTGGGTTTCTATAGTATGGTTATACAGTCACTCGAATCGAATCGAGTTCGTGAGTTGAATTCGTGCCAGTGAGTTTTTCGGGGGGAGGGGTAGTTTTGAATCTTTGCTTTGGCTTTGCTTTAGGTTTGATATACGAGTATTGGAACCGGGACCATGACCCTGACCGTGACGGTACTTGAGTCAAGCTCAAGCTTATATTCTCTTCTCTCTCTTATGTATCTATCCTTTAATTAAAAAAAATTTAATTCGAAGGAATGGGAATAGGATTATAGGGATGGGATCGGTATGGTAGTAAAGGTATAGAGTAATTAGTTGGTTTAGTGCATGAGGGAATAATTGTCTAGCTGGATGTGATGTTGGATGTTGGGAGTTGGGAGTTGGCTTGTTTGTTGGCTTATCTGTTTGTTTGTTTGTTTGTTTATTGAAGATATAATATATATGTATATTGAGATGTATTGAGATATATTGAGATATATTGAGATATTGATTGATGCTAGTGGTTTTGTGTAGGGGAGGTTGGTTGGTTGTGGGATTTTAAGGTTGAGGTTGAGGGGAGCTTTTTTAAATGATAAATGTAATTTATGCGAGGGATCTTGATTTTGAAAGATTGAGGTGGATTTTATGGCTTGATGGCTTAAAGAGGTGTGTGTATTCCAAATTTCAAAATTAAAAAAAATGGGGTGGGTGAGTGGGTGGAATAACTTGGAATTGAAGAATAGTTTTGGGGAGGGAAGAGGGAAGAGAGAGAAGAGAGGAAGAGAGAGAAGAGAGGGAAGAGAGAGAAGAGAGGGGAGTGAGGGGTGAAAAAAGTACCGGACCTAGATAGACTCGGACTTGCAATTGAAAGGAGAGAAATATAGTGGATACAGGATCTCTTGTTATTATACGAGTACAACAATTGTATTACTGT